GGAGAGAAGTTATTATTACTAGTGAATCACTGTTTAGTGTATCGCGAATTTTTTTCTAAACTAAAATGTTCTACAATTACTCCTCTTCCAAAAGTTCAAAATTCTGAGTTATATACAAACATGCGGCCAATGAATTTACTGCCAGATGTCGATAAGCTATATATAACATATATGAACAAATCATTGAATATATTGAAGAAAACAGCGTATTGACAAAATTCCAAGCAGGATTCAGAAAAAATGTTCTACTGAAATAGCAATTCAAATGATAGTAGAAGAATGAGACGAAATATGGATGAAAAAAGGTTTACAGAAACATTGTTCTCGGTTTTCAAGAGGGCATTTGAGACCATTGACATGGAGAAGTTGTTAACGAAATTGCATTACTACGGACTAAGGTTCTGTAGGTTAACTTAGAAGTGTTTGAAGCTAATAGTTTTCGAGATATTTGTTTTTAAAAGTTCCAAGGCATTATTTGTACCATGATGATGAAACATTTTTATAACAAAATCATCAAGTTGCTTTGGATAATATCTGAGAAGCGTTGCTATGGTTTCTAATGTTTGTCATAATATTACTTTAAACCATGAATAATTTTAAGTTGACAATAAGTTGTTAAACATCATGGAGTTTACGTTCGATGAATATTCTGATATGCATTTAATGTACGGATTGGCAAGATGTAATGGAACTTTTAAAAACAAATATCTCGAAAACTATTGGCTTCAGACACTTCTAACAAGTAAGCCTTTTTTGTTGTGGAAATACGACAAAATAAGATTTTTCGGTCAGTTGTTGTATACAGGGTAGCACAAAAAAGTTATGATAAGTTATTTACCGAAATAGTGCTGTAAGTGGCGCCCTCTAGAAGTTTGACCATACAAAAAAACGGATTCTTGCTTCTGAAAGACTTTTGAATCAATAAGGAAAAATAGAAAATAAAATTGTAACTTTGACACCCTGTATCTTGCAAACTATCAACTTTTGGACTAAGGTATGTTTAGGTGAATTCACATATTTTGGTCTGTGTCTCCAGTTTCGTATTATGTGATATACTGTGTAACATTGATATTGTAACATTAATGTTAAATAAATCTACAACAAAGCATTAACGAATTGAATGATGCTTTTTGCGAACTTCATTAGTCGTGATTCTCTAATAACTCTAAAATCCATAAACAAAGTTTTCGAATAGGCTTTCTTTCGCTTATAGCCTTCCATGTCTGGGTCGCCGTGGCAGGCAGTCAAAACTTCGAACATCGAAAAAATTAAATCTCCAAAATTTTCGACATTATCAAAATTTTTGAAATAGGTATCCAACATTTTCGTGATTTACAAAATTTGCAAAAATTATGGTTTCCAAAATTTACATTATTTTCTTAATTTTAAAAATCTTCAAGATTATCGAAAATTTCAGATATTTAAAAAATCATGAAATTTTTGGAATGTCGGAAAATTTTTAGGAATTTGAAAATTCAAAAAAAAAATTCCGAAAATTTTGAATTTTTCGTAAATTTAGAAATTCATGCAAAACCCAAACATTTTGAAAGTTCCAAGCAGTTGGGAAACTTATGATTACAACCGTTACAGACTATGTGAAATGCATATGTTACATCGCCCTCGAAAGTTTCTCATAAAAGCTATTTTTTGTTTAAAATCCAAGAAGATTCATTCCTCAAACGGTACTCAGTTCTCGCATAACGTCTATAACTTTGTCCTCAAGGATCGATTTGCGGACCGCAAAATTTGTGACGCCCTTTTCACGCTGCTGGGGAACCTGCCTAGGGGCGACAACACTGTCTTACGTATCTTGAAAAGGGACATTATATAGATTTTTTGTGACATTATGTATGTTTTTCTACAAGATGTCAACTTAGCACTAGATGTTGTACACTTGACGTGTACTCGTTCTGCTTCAGAGATGGCATTATTGGCGCTATAAGTTGTATAGTATACCTGGAAGTAAATGGCAGTGCATAGGTGCATACTGAGGATTTGTGTGCTGATTTTTTTTTCTACTCCAACTACCACGATGGCCTAAACACACATGAGGTACCGTGGGGCTATAGGGGGATACTGGGGACAGGGGAGACGCCACACGGGAACACGTGTGCATGGACGCATTCTGGCTCCGCCTACGAGTTCCGCCGGGTGGTACCTCCGCGTTCGACAGTCAGAGACCATCTACCCCCTACGGTATCTGTGTTGATGATAATTCCATTGTTTCTTGTCTTAAATACACTTATTTGAGATGTATGCAAAGCTCAACGTTAGTTACGCATCCGCTTTTTCTTATTCAACCTGGGCATTACATATGCAAATTTGCTGAGTTTAAACAAGATAGCGATAAGAAAAGAGCACCCCTGGTTGGTGAAGTTTATTAAAAGTAACAGGTGAGAAAATATGGTACATACAGGAATATTTATGAACCATAAAAAAGTTATTACAGTTCACACTAATTTTTATTTCCAGTCATTTGAATTTTATAGAAATTAATTTTACGATGTCAAGTAGAAGATACAAATTAGCGCCGATGTGAGGCTGTGCTAAAATATTTTGTATGTGATGCGACTTTCCTAATTTTTCTGTGAGGTGGCGCAGTTATACACAACGCGGGTGTGGTACTGATTGCCCGTAATGCTTCTCAAAGTTTTTGAAAACGCAAAAAAACGGGGAAAATCGTAATGTATAACTCTGAACATAACCTCTCTTCAGAATGGACAATACAAATAACCCGTCTGGCACAGCTAATAGATATATTGCATGGGCAGCATATTCAGTAATAATTATACAGGGTGACTTGCAATGTCACGTATTCCTGTTAAGGGGTGATAGATTAGGTCAAAAGCAACCGATTTTGTCCTATAATATCCTATCCAGAAGTTAACCGTTTTTGAGTTATTTGAATTTTATTTTTTTTATTTTTTATTCCGATTTCAGACGGTTAAATTTGAAATACAAAAAAACTACATGTTTGATTTTGAGTTTTTTGTTATCGTCGCATAGCGGACATTCCAATAGCTCATAATAAGTAGGTAATAAAATGTTGAAAACTTACAAAAGTTTTAAAATTACGCTCTTGAAATGTATGATTTTCTTATTTTTTTACTAACTTATTCGATAAAAAATGCAATTTTCTGTAAAAAAAATCTCTTAGTAATGAAATGTGCAAATTATGTAAATAATATCTCTATCTAACAAGCTTTCATTTGAGGTATAAAAGTTGCAACTAACTCAAGTACAAAGACATAAAATTAAAAAAAGATGAGTAAGGTTGTACGAACGATAATTACGTAAGAAAAATAAAAGGCTTTTATTTTAATTACAGTTTTATTTAATTACATTTCCTATAGTATTTTACAGATTCCGCTCAAATTGTAATCCCCTGTTACGAATACACGCCCGCGTTCTCTTACGGAATTCACTTTTGTAAACTCTAGTTGTTAAGCGGCTTTTTATTTGGTCAGCTGCACTGATTATCCTTGTAATTAATTCATCGCGCGTTGGTACGGGCCAAACATCGTACACCAGGCTTTTCATATGTCCCCACACTTAGTAATCCATCGGTGTGAGATCTGGGCTTCTTGCTGGCCAGGCAATGGGCCCGCCCTCTGCCAATCCATTGATTTGGAAATTTATAGTCTAAATACGCCCGTACTAATCTACTGTAGTGTGCGGGACAGCCGTCGTGCTGGAACCCCATATTTTGTCTCGTCGCCAATCTGACGTCTTCCATTAATGGAAACAAGTGATTTTTCAAGAACTCTTCATACACTTCTCCATTTGAATTGGCGGGCAGAAAATGAGGTCCAATTAAATATCCATCAATGATGCCCATCCACACATTGACTGAAAACCGGCTCTGAGACCCCGTCGGTCTTATTTTTCGCTGGTTTAAAGCTTCTTTATCAGCCCAGTACTGAGCATTATGGTAGTTAGTGATCCCGTCCTTATCAAACTTCGATTCATCGGTCCACAGAATTTTCTTAAAATAGTCTGGATCTTCTGTATCTGCATGTAACATGTACCTGCAGAAATCTAATCGTCTTGCAGGATCGCCCTCTTCAATCACATGCACAGGCATGTAGTGAAAAGGGTATAATCTTGCAGTATGCACAGTAAACCATACTTTGTATTATGATATACCCAACTGAGCAGCCACAATGCGCGTAGACGTAGTAGGGTCTTCCTGAAACACACGAAGGATTTCCTCTTCATCTTCATGAGGATAGACTCGGGGTCGACCAGCATCCCTATGTTGCCTTTGAACACGTCCGGTTTGGCGGATGCGCCGATACACAGAGTCAAACACGGTAACATGAGGTGTTCGGCGATTCGGGAAACGTTGCCGATATTCACGGCGAGCAGCTGCAGAATCGCCGTTACAAAGTCCATAACAGAACATTGTGTCTGTGTATTCTTCATTTGTAAAAGTTTGCCCGTGCTCGCTATGGCGAGGTCCTGGCGGATCTTCTGCGTCTGCCATGATGATAAAGAAACCACTCGAAATGAACTGGGAAACTCGAAAATAATAATCGTGCGCGTACGCAGTAGTTGATACCAACTAAACCTAATTCTCACAATGATGATTAATAACAGCTCTCTCTCTCTCACTCCTCCACTAAGGCTGAACACATAGTGGAGCGGTGAGAAGAGCGACGAGCAGAGCAGAGAGGAGAGCGGCGAAAACAAAAGCAATAGTTCCAATCGAGTATAACATAGTGAGGCGAGCTCAAGCGAGGTAACTGCGTTGCTATAAGAGAGGATAGCGGCGAGACCAAGCAGATTTGTTTTCTCTGCTCTCCTCGCTGCGGAAATACTGTGTATTAAAAATGGATGTTGATGCATTTATTACTAGTGTTTTTGTTAAAAATCCCCTATGGGATCAGAAAGACTCTCAGCACCATAACCGCTTTGTTTTGGATAAACTGTGGGATGCTGTGGCCGAAGAAATGAAAACAACAAGTGAGTATATATTTTTAAATTTTATTTCTACATACGTAATTTTTATACGTCTCTCTAATAAAAGTGGCAGATGCTGTTGGCCTATTATTTGCTCGCACAACGTCCGAGTTATTACATTGAGACTCGGATTGGGACAAAAATTGTTCATCTTGAATTGGAATGCCCTCTATATCAATTATTGTATTGTGTAGAATACAGATACACTTAATAATATCATCTGCTAAGTCTGGAGAGGCTTCTATGGGCTTGAAAAGAATACGAAACTTGGCACTGATGATTCCAAAAGCACACTCTACTACACGTCTTGCACGTGAAAGGCGCATATTGTAATATTCTTTTTCTGCATCTAAATTTCTTCTATTAAAAGGTTTCATTAGATTATTTAATAAAGGATAGGCTTCATCTCCGATAAAAACATAGGGTACAGTGATCATAGTGAGCGGTAATGTACCATCTTCAGGAATATTTAGACGTTTACTCTCAATCAGATGAAATAGAGATGAGGATCGGAATGTACCCCCGTCACTCTGCTTGCCATACCCTCCAACATCAATCGTTATAAATCTATAATTTGCATCAGTAACAGCTTGGAGAACAATAGAAAAGAAGTTTTTGTAATTATAGTACATAGTTCCAGAGTGAGGAGGACATTTCACACGAATATGTTTTCCGTCAATTGCCCCCAGACAATTGGGAAAATTCCATTTTTCGTAGAATTCTTTTGCAGTGTTCTTGAAGTCATTTTCGGTAGGAACTTTCATATGCAGAGGTTGTAATATGTCCCACATAGCTTTTACTGTTTCTCGCACAATTGATGACACGGTCGTAGCACCCATTCGAAAAGTAAAACTAAGAGTTTTAAAAGATGATCCCGTTGCCAAAAACCTGAAAAAAAAACTTCTTCAAGCTTAAATTCTGGTAAAAATATTTTCTCATTTCAGGGAGTATCGTGAGGACAAAATGGAAAAACTTGCGAGACACATTTCGCAAAGAACTTAAAAAAAAGCCAGTACAACGATCGGGGGATGAGGCATCCTCTTGGACATCATCTTGGCAATATTTTGATAGTCTTTATTTTTTAAAAGACCAATTTACTGCCCGAGTAAGCACCGGAAATTTGCCCGAAACTGAGCAAAACATCAATATTCTGGATGAAGAAACAAACACCCAGTTATCAGAACACCGATCAGAACCAAATAAGCCAAACTTGGATGATTCTACTTATGCCGATAAATTACCACTGACGAACGATTCGTCTCAAAACAAAAGCAGTTTAACTATCACACCTACTGTTAACAAATTAAAACGAAAGAACCAAAATGACACAGATGTTGGTGCTGCACTTATAAGATTAGAAGAACAAAAACTCAGGATTCTAGAAAAAGAGAAAAAAACCCTTGATGAAGACGATTGCTTTTTTGACAGCCTTCTACCACACATTCGCCCGCTCACCCCACAAAGAAAAATGTTATTAAGAATGAGAATTCAGGAACTTGTTTATAACTTTATTTACAATGATCAGCCGCCTAGTCAAGCTACTCAAAGGCAAAGTAATCATCAAGCTCAAAATATGCATGATGTATATGAAGTAAATTCATCCCAAATAATTGATTTGCAGCCTCTAAGGGTCTCCTCGAATCCTGCATCAGTTGGATCTTATTTGACCAGTTTTTCCGAAGAATCTCTTAATGATTTTTAATATTTTCACATAGGTACAGCTATATGAGTAATGTTTGTGCTTTCATTTTAGTTTGGGTTTTCGTTCTGAATAAAATATAAAATTGAAAGTGTGCACGTTTACTTACCTTAAGGTCAGTGCAACTCGTTCTGTTGGGCTAATAGGGTTACAATTAAAGTTGGTCCAACTTTTTACTAACTTATGCTGAATTTTCTTCACAATATAATCAAAGGTTACAATACTCATTCGGAAATAAGACTTAAACTTCTCGGGATGCTGCCTTAGTTCTTCATACAGGTGATGAAATTCACCATGTACATGCCTACTTTTATTTATTTCATGAACACTACAACTTCTCTTCCTATTTTTCAGAAAATACCAAATTTTCAGAGAAGAATTTTCTGCTAACAACAGATCCATCTCTCTGTTTTGATCGCGCTACTATGTGCAGGCATCTCTTTTATCACCGCGACACTCAATCGCCGCTCTGCTCTCTGCTCTCCTCGTCGCTCATCTCGCCGCTCCACTATGTTTTCAGCCTAAGTCAGCTCTTCTCGCTCGCTTCCTCGTCGAGCCGATGCCATAAAACAATCATGGCATGCGAGTCCTTTGAGGACAGTAACGACTTGTTCAAACAGGTAATACGAATTCCTTAAAAATCCAGCCTCTGTGGGTGTCATTGTTGTTTCTCTGCATGTACTTCAGATAATTGAACGCTTAATCAAATGAAAGCTTGTTAGATAGAGATATTATTTAAATAATTTGCACATTTCATTACTGGGAGATTTTTTTCGAATAAGTTAGTAAAAAAAAGAAAATGATACATTTAAAAAGCGTAATGTTAAAACCTTTGTTGCTTTTCAACATTTTATTACTTATTATGAACTATTGGAATGTATGCTATGCGACGATAACAAAAAACTCAAAATCAAGCATGCAGTTTTTTTGTATTTCAATTTTAACCGTCTGAAATCGGAATAAAAAATAAAAGACTTAAAATTCAAATAACTCAAAAATGGTTAACTTTGGGATAAGACATGATAGGACAAAATCGGTTGCTTTTGACCTAATCTATCACCCCTTAACAGGAATACGTGACATTACAAGTCACCCTGTATACAGGGCGTTAGGGAAATAATATTCGTAAGTTTAAGAGGTGATTCCTTGCACTATTCTAAGCAAAAAAGTTCATTATAACCTATGTCTGAAAATCAACCGTTACAGAGCAAAAAAATGCTGAACTTATTTCTTTTTAGTCATGAAATAAATTAATTTTGCACCTTAATAATTTAAATTCAAATGCCTAATAGCGTAAAATATATCAATACATCTATTTATTAATTGCCCCTTAGAAAATAATTTTCGTGCTTATTAAATACAATTTACCGAAGAAAAACAGACAAACAATATCCCTCACACAACTGGCAACGTCGTACTCCGCCTGCACTGAATGTATCATCGCGTGTTGTTGCGATTACTAATACATTTAACTGTAACTTTAAGTGATTTACGGATGTTGGTTTTTTCTTTTTTCAAATCGTGGGAATTGGTGGTGTGTATCGCCACGTACCGGTAAGTTCTGTCATTTTTTTTAAGTAAATATGTACTGTACTGAAAGCGTAATTAAATAAAAAATATTAGCAATAAAAAATTGCATAAAAGTATTCAATAATTCAAGGCATATTTTCAACAATAATATCAAACGTAAACAATTCGATGAATCAGTTGCAGCAGTCGTGCGCTCGTATCGCAATTATTCAAAAAGAACTAGGTTTATTAATAGCGTAACATAAATACACGACCAATGATAAGGCGTTTCTGAAGTAATGGACCTAGAATATGGTCGATTTCTTGTAAAATGTAAAAATAATACGATTTGTGTAAGATGGGTCCCTAATTCCTACATTAAATCAAAAAATGCTTCATATATGGCTTAGCTACAAAAACCAATTTTTCCATTTCAGCTGAGATGCAATTTGCAAGGCAGACGCAAAATTCCACCGATCAAAAAGAACGATTTGCGATAGAGTCCCTAATTCGACTAATCAAAGAGTTCACCCTAGCAGAGTAGATTGAAATGACATATTACTGAGGATCTTATTGAAAATAACAATCAAGCGGGCCATAAAGGCGTCCTACAATTATTGTAGGAACGACTGACGATACGACCCTTAGAGTTAATTTGAATCTTGTATGAGATCAATTGTACTTGTAAGATCGCCGCTAAGCTGCCTAGACTTTTCGAGATTTTGTGTTTTTGGTTTTATCTCGAGAGATTGGCATATAACTGCAGGAAATATCCTCATGGACATCTTTAAGGTTTTCCTTCACGTAAAAACCGCCCAAAAAGAACCGACTAACCGAACAGATGGAAAATAATATAATTAAATCCCAATATGAAAACCTCAGATTTTCTACAGTGGGTCGTATAACAATCAGGAAATCTGTGTAGCTCACGCATTGATCCTATGGGTCATTGTTTCCTATCAATCTAATGAAACAGGTACCATCTGCTCGTGATGACGTTTATAACAATAATAGCGGCCGGAGGTAATGCAGTAATGTTTGCCTTTGTGGATTGTCGTTACGCAACTTATGAGGACCATCAGTACTATCGCAGTAATTGCCGCTCACCTCTCGCTTATACATTCTGACATTAATGGAAAATGTGCAGAAGCCTCTGGAGCAGTGCGGAGTGATGAAAGGCCGCTTAATTTTCGTAGTCCGGGATGTTATTAACCCACTTTTTGTTTGTCTAATTTAAAATTAACTTCAACGTTCGTACTTTGCTTTTTGGTGATGCCAATCGTGTGTCTACCGAAGTTTGTTTTGCATTAGTCGAAATCATTGATTAACGTATTCTACCTAAAGATAGTCATTCCGGTGCCCAAAAAATGATCTGAAAGATCCTAGCACCATCTATAAGAGAGTAGGGCATGCAGTTATTGAAATCTTCCGATAATAGATAATAAAGTTATCGTTTTTTTTTGCCTTCATAAAAGGATATGAAAAGATGTCATCTACGAGATATTTAGAATCTATAAATCGTCTTCAAAAACAACTTTTTGGTTCTATCCTAACCCACTGTTCGAACCTTTCCTTGTGTAACGTATTGGCAACGCGGCAGTTTCCACGACCGTTGCTAGGCAATGTGGTGATGTCCTTCACCCTTCAGCCGGCTTCTATCTCTTTCTAACACGTGTTGATACACACTTCTCGCGCTTCTATCTCGTACACATTGAACTCAAGCCGTCAGACAAATTTGGTTTTCCTGTATTTTCATCACGTGCTTTCCCACGAGAAGCAATAATTGCACCATCATTGAATAGTTATTGGCAACAATCGCAATGTTATGAGATTTTTCTTAACTGAAGTAACTGAATCCAAGTAGAAGTAATGTATTAACTGTGTGATCATTGACTGAAATACCTCAACACGCTATGAAAGTAGTGGCTCTCTTGAGATTTTTTCAGTCTCAATCATTGGATGCTCAGATAACTGTCAACATTAAATCAAATATGCGAGCTCTAGAACTACTAGATTCTCACGTGGAAAGATTAACATGAATGTCCGCAACAGACATTCACTTTCATCCGATGGAAGAATGCATCTTGTTAAATTAGGTTAATGTCATTTGCGTCAAGTATCTCAATGTTGCACAAAAAATTCACCACAATCAAAAAATGGTAAGGGATTTATTGAATCTAGTCTAATGTACAGTGGTTTGATATTTTTGAGGTTTGCTCAGTATGGCCTAAGCCTAATATGATCGAGTACAGTGGAGGGTATATTTTTGGCATGCATAAAAGAGCTATATCTGAATTGTATTACAATATAAAAAATACATGAATAAATACCGACATTCACAAAGGGGAAATAAAGGAAATTCAGAAGATTGCCAGGGTCATTTTTAATGAGGCAGTTAAATGTTATCAACTGCGATCATCTCACCAAAATGAGTCAGCGCTTATACTTTCTGGTTATAAGCAAGATGTTTCTTTGTTAAAGTATGTAACATTGCCAACACTTTGTAGACGGATCTATTTTTGAGCTTTCACTATAAATTACAGAAAGCCACGCAACTGGTAATTTTTTGTATTTCTATTTTTATTGTGAACGTACTAGTACAAAAACAAAAGCTGTAGCTTGAATGAAAATAAAATTAATATACATCACCTTTGTCATCAAGGTGCTATTTTATTTGCACGCATTCCAAAATTTTGTCCTTGTTCAAAAATATCCCATATTTGCGCAGCATATGTGTCGGTTCGAAAATCTAGCGATAGAAACGGTAGTTTCCATCACTTTTTTTGTTGTTACCAAGACATGAGATGAGTTTTAATAGTTTTTAGTGCATTGACATTTTTCAAAAGGTAACATTGCCAACACTTCCTGAATCTTTTATCATTATTCATTATTTGCCTTTAAAATGAATTTCCTAGGTAGGCCTTGACATTTTCAGATAGTTATTTGCTTCGTATATCAATTAATCCCAAAATCGCTTTAATCTTTTCCTGTCTTTATTTGTGACGAGATTTCAAAATAAATTGCATTTTGTCATTGTTACAATATTGGCATAGTAAAGGTTTCAATTCGACATTTCTCATTTCGACTTGCATCACCAAATTTGTTTTTTCATATGGACGCTATATTGGAATTTTGTACATTCAAATAGGCTTTTCAGTCCTGAATTCAGTGATGTATTTTCTTAGCTTGCCATGAATTTGTTGTTGGATGACAATAATTATACTAAGTGACATATAAATCCGAACACCCAGTTTAAATGGTTTTATTTTAATAAAAGTTGGTGAATGTATTTATCTTACTGTAAATAACAAGTGAAAAAATTTTCAGCCTTATCAGTTGAACATTCCGGTTTTATACTGCTTTTTTTTAATTCACTAATGCTCTAAAAATGAATATTTCAGCCGCAGTAAAGAATCAACGTTGGCGGATTTTGGTTCTTGACATCCTTTACGATCGGTTACGATGCCTAGAGTACGGAGACCTGTACGATTTCGTCAACATAGTGAGTTTGAGGGGGGCCGTATAGTGGGACTTCGGGAAGCTGGACTTTCTTTTCGGGCAATTGCAGTTAGAGTGCAAAGAAGTGTAGACACTGTGGTTAGGTGTTGTCAGGCATGGCTTCGAGAAGGCCGTACGCAAAGAGCAAGGGGCACTGGACGCCGCCGTAGAACAACAGACCGTGAAGATCCATTGCAAATGAATGGTTTGCAGAACACGGAAGACCTATTGGCATGCGAAGTGTTTACCGACGAATGAGAAGTTTTGGCTTGTTTTCATACCGGCCACACTGGGTCCTCCCTTTAACTCGAGAACACCGACGTAATGGCCTTGAGTGGTGCAGACAACGGTCACTCTGGGATCAGGAATGGAACAGTATTGTCTTTAGTGACGAG